ACCATGCTTGACTGTTTAATATCTTTCTATCTTTTTAAACTTTAAAATCTTGTTAAATAATTAAGCACTCTCATTGTAGAAACTTAAATATACTACTTGAAGCATACTCATTGTTTAAAAAATATATACGTTTTTGTACTAAATGCAGCCTATTGTGATTAAAATGACTTTTTTTTTTAATCTGTTAGAAACAAAAATTGAATGGAATTAGTTAACACACTGGAAGTGTTTTTGATCATCATATGTCTTGAAACTTGTTGAGTTCACTTAAAGGTGTCACCCTAATAAGTCAACCATGGTAAAATTATAATGTGACGAAAATAGGGAAAAATAGTTTGGTGCTACATAAAAGGCTTGTAAAAAATTATCTCATTAGGTGTGGGGGAAAAGTTAGTTAATTGGATAGAAGAGTGGCTGGATGGAAGAAAGCAGGGGTTGTTATAAATGGAGTTCAGCCAAACTGGATTAATGTTACAAGTGGGGTACCTCAGGGCTCAGTCTTAAGACTTTTGATCTTTTTTATGTATATCATTGACAGAGATGAAGGAATGGTGAATAAATTACTTAAATTTGCTAATGGTATTAAGGTCTTGGGTGTTGATAACTGTGAAGAGGATGCTGCTGCTTCACAAAAAAATTTAGATCATTTAGTGAATTGGGCAAATAAATGGCAGATGTGTTTTAATTATAATAAATGCAAGATAATGCATATGGGATATCATAATTTGAATTATAAGTATAATTTGGATGGGAACAACATTAACAGTGTCATGAAAGAAATGGATCTTGGTGTAATGGTTGATCAAGTCTCTTAAGCCATCCAAGCAGTGTGCTGTTGTTAGTGATAGGGCAAACAGAATTTTAGGTTGTATCTACAGAAATATTGGATACAAGTCTAAAGAGGTTATAATTTCATTGTGTACGTCATTGTTTAGGTCATGTTTGGAGTATTGTGTTCAGTATTGGGCTCATTACCTTAGAAAACACATTGAATTGTTGGAATAGGTTCAGAGAAGGGTTACTAGAATAGTGCCTGGGATGGAGGGGTTGTCATATGAGGAAAGATTAAGATCTCTGAAATTATTTTCTTTTGAAAAAAGAAGAGTTAGAGGGGATCTGATTGAGGTATTTAAGATTGTAAAGGCAGTTGATAGTGTTGATGCATCATGTTTTTTCGTACTTAATGGTGAGAATAGTATTGCTTGGTGACACAAATATAAATTTTGACAAGGTCTTATTTTTCTAAGAGGGTGGTTGGCCTTTGGAATGGGTTACCTTCGGATTTTGTGAAGACAGTAAATTTAAATGAGTTTAAGAGAAAGCTTGATAACTGTATGAATGATAAGGGCTGGCTTTATGGATTTTTATTTATTTATTTGATAGTTTTAGCTTAGTTTAGAGGATGGGACAGCTGAGATGGACCAATAGGTCCCTTGTTGTCCCTAAACTCTGTGTCATAATATGCACACAGAATTTTAGTAATGAGATAAAGATAGTACAAAGGCATTAATAAAAGTACAAGGAGAAAAATAATGAAGAATAGCATACAGAATAACATACCTACAATGCTTTTTCCTTCATCCTGGTTTTCTGTATTTTGTTGAAGTTTTAGTGTTTTTATTTTTTGTACAGCATCTGTAAGGTCATCACTATACAAATTTATTTCTCTAACTTGTAATTTTATATGTATTTTCAAGAATTTGTATACTTTTATGGAGAGCGTACTTGTTCATATTTATTATGTGCATCTATGCTAGTGGCTCAGCCATGTGTGGGCCTGGGTAGGCCACACCTTGTCCACTCAGAGTAAGTACATCTTATGTTTTAGCTCCCTGTAACTTGCCTCCAAAAGTTTATACACCTCCTTCCCATCCATCATAACTTCAGGCCACCCAAAATTTCATACCTGACTGTGTGATTAATTTATACCCAAAAATATTCTATTAAAAATAGCATTATAGTAATAGTTAAGTGGATTGTATTAGCACAGTTGCAACAGTATATATATATATACACACACAGTTTGGTCACAAGTAAATAGACACCACCTTTTCAGAAAAAATGAAATTTTTCAGTCATATACACATGAATTGATATATTTATAATTTGATTAATATCTAGTAGATCTTCCTTTCGCTTCATGTAGTTCATTGATCCTTTGAGGCATCTTGAGAATCATCTCGTCAATTTTAGATTGTGGGATTTTCGCCCACTCTCGCTTCAAAACTTGGAGTAGATCGCTTTTTGAAGTTGGTTTTTTTGGTTGTTTCTTGACTTACCGGTCGAGTATGGCCCAGAGGTTTTCGATGGGGTTCTTGTCAGAAGATTGGCTCGGCCAGGACAACTTCAGGATACCATTTTCTTCCTGCCACTTTTGGGTGTTTCTAGCAGTGTGACACTGTGCTCCATCTTCCTGGAACAACGTGTTCTTGTCCACGAAACCCGAGGACTAAAGTGGCAAGAGTCCTTCCTCCAATATTTTGATGTATTTTGCAAAATTTATGTTGCCAACGCACTCCAATAAGCTCAATCTCCCACCAACCCAAACAGCTCCCCAAACCATCACGCTGAAACCACCATGCTTCACAGTTGGCTGAAATCTGTTAGTAGCCAAAGTCTCTTAGGTGACGACTATTTCTCCAGACCAATATCCTTCCACTAGTCCGAAATTGAGCGAATCTTGATTCGTCTGAGAACAATACGGTCC